GAAATATCGGAGGATGAAAGAATTCATCGAGTTAAACGTCAATGTGGATGCTGTTCATGTTATGGTTCCAGAACATCTTCCTGCTCATGCTCATCATTATGTTCATGTGCTCCTAATAATTATGCATCCGGTTATGGTAATATAGGATACGGTGGTATTAATTTCAATACCGGATATGGTTTTGGTTTTAATTCAGGATATCCATACAGCATCGTATGTATCATTTCATTCTTTTCCGTGTATAAAAATGAACACTGAAAAAGAGTTTAGCAAATATTAAATTTATTATTACTGGATGAAATTAATATCGGATATATTAATATTTACCAGATATAATAATATAAATTTTTATTGTTATCAAAAATATTAAATTAATAAGTTCAAAAATGATTAGTATAATAATCTTATTTATGAAATCAATGAGATCTTTATAATAAAAGATATGATCAAAAAATAATTCATTTGAAATGATACTCATCATATTTGAATTAAATGATAACTGAACAAATAACATTTACTTTCAGTTGTTTATCAATTATCGTATTTAAAAAAAATAAATAAATCATGTAAATTTTGAACGGAAAAATGAATTAATTAACGAAAACATCAGCTAATTAATATCTCATTCAAGCAATTGATTAATTTTGTATTTTAGTATGGTCTGTATAATCCAGCTAATTATGGTACTAATTACAATACTGGAAATGGCTGTAGCTTTGGAGGAACAATGTCATCAACAGGTTGTGGTGGTACGGGTAATATGCTTCCGTATAATTTCGGTAGCAGTTACGGTGGTAATTTTATTACCGGTAATACCGGTAATGTTTATCCACAGGTGACCGGTTGTTTGACAGGATTTAATAATGGCTGCCGTTGTGAAAATGGTTATTCACCGTGTAGTAATGGTGCTTCATGTTGCAGGAATAATATTAATGGTTCGATGATACGTTAAATTGTAAACAGATCATTAATTAATATAAGAAATGATTTGCAAATTTATTTATTAAATATTTGTTTTCGAGAGAGATTTTTCTTATCAATGATGCATTTAAAAATGTTTTATTATTTTAATGCTATATTTAAAATTGAATCAAAACGAAAACACCAGGCTAATAAAGAAAAAAAATTTTTTTTTTGGTTTTAATGCACAAAATTGATTAACAAATATAATAAATGGAATTTGTTTAATTTGCACATATCATTTTACTCTCTGTTGTCCTGTTCACTTTTTCTATCATTTTAAATTAATTAAAGTAAAAAACTGGGACAAGTTTATAAAATTAATCACAAAAATTTATCATTCAACGTATTTATGTCAACAAGTATTAAAAAAGTTTTTTTTTTCCTTTTTTATATATCTGAAATATATTCAAAGTCTCGTAAATGACATATTTATTCAATGTACGCAAATTACAACCGCAATAATTGGCAATTAGATGAAAATTAATTAGTGCAAAAAGGTGTGTTTTTTGTCTTCAACCTAATTTTTTTCTCTGCACAAAATATATTAAATAATATTGAAATATTACTAAAAAGTCTTGATAAAATTTTTGATACAACTAATTATCAAACACTTGCATATTTTTTAATAACTATTCCATAAACTTTCTGAAGTAAAATTTCGATGATTTCAATTTTTTTTATTTCATCTTATCATATTTTACTAATTAAAGCTTTTAAAAGAATGTGAAAATTTGAAAGACGAATGAAAATATAAATGTTTATAATTGAAATGATATTTAGTTGACTCAAAAATTCATAATTTAATCATATT